TCTGATCCCCTGTCCGTTGAGCCACGACTTGGGGCTGATACTGCTTGAGCAATGCGGCTAGCTGCTGATCCTGATCCGCCGAGACCCCATGATCAAACCAGATTTCAAAGAGCGATCCAAAGCGCGTCCACAGCTCTTTGACGTGCTCAAAGACCAGGATATTGTATTGTTCGTCAGTTAAATCTACTTGGCCTGGTAAGGGGTTGCCAATGCGCTTGAAGCCATCTCGGTTGAGAAAGTAGTTGTTGCCAGTGCTGTAGTAATAGCCATATCCCAGGCCGGCTGCCCCCAAGGTGGAGCTAAATTCGGCAATGACGTCGCGCTGAAAGCTTGGGTAGGAACTGCGTGCCACTGCAAAGGGATACTCCGTTCCATTTGGCAAGGTGGTCGAGGTATTCCAGAGTCAAAAGCCGCAGCCGTGTTTGGCGGTGAGGACGGCGTGCTTGGCACCCACAGCCCGGTAGTTTTCAACCCAATTGGAGATGCTTAGCCGTGTGGGGTCAAAAAGGGAGGCGTGTGAGCTATGGACACCCACATTCCAGTTGGTGGGGTTGCAAGCTGGATCGCCGTCCTCCACAAAAGTAGCCATGTTAAAGTGTGTCAACTACCATGCGATCAAGCAACGCCGCCAAGTCAAGACGTAAGCCAGAGCGGGGCAGGTCTTGGGTAAGCGGAGAAAAAAGAGTCGTTCAAAAGCAAGCGGTGAGCACACAGAAGGCAGGATCTGCAGCGATATTCCTTCTGAAAAGATCAAGGTCAATGCAATAGTTTCGGCGTCAAACTTACGCCCATAATCTCATGACGCTGATATGCGGCTTGTTCAGGGGTAGGAACGGGGACTTGGTTCGTGGCGCATGGCATTTTGCTCCATTCGGCGCGACAGGCAGCCTGCGTTTCGTGGCGCTGGACTGTCACGCACCACGGGTCAAGCCAGCCCTCGGCGCCGCGGGGCTGCACTCCAGTGAGCGCTCTATCACACACGTATTGTTTGACAGTGGCCCGGCCCTTTGGACAGGTCTACCCAATCAATCGAGCAAAAGTTGATTCAATATTCACAAGATCAAGATCGTGAGTTCAGTCGCGTGCTCCCACCAGCGCGAAATGCCATAAGCAGGGCTTACCGCTGTCACAGGATGACGCTGAACCACGGCCAAGCCGGCTCGATGGTCATCAATGGCCACAATCTGTGT